AAGAAAGAAACAGACAGACACGCAAACAGATAGATAGACACAATTACTACACAGTGTCCACTGGTACCTGACTATGAGGTCCTCCTTCCTGTGAGCCGTGGTCAGGTAGAGCTCGTCCAAACTCAGGTTGCTAGGCAACGGGTCAGGTGACTGGGATAGTAGTGCGGACGTGTCTCCCGAATGAAGGCGTTCTATCAGTCTGTACAGGTGTCTGTCCGTCGCGGCTGACGCCCTGTGGGGGAGACAAGCGGTCCTTGGTAATTAAGTCGCTATCTTAGAATTAATAAACGTTTTATCCTACATTTTTGGCTGTTTTGAGATACAATGTACTTAGATCATAGTGCGTGAAGGACATGGACAGAAAGGGAGAGAGAGAGAGAGAGAGAGAGAGAGAGAGAGAGAGAGAGAGAGAGAGAGAAAGAGAGAAAGGAAGACAGAAACCAATAATGTTCTACCTGCTCTATTAAAATCGTAAGATTATTCGGAGTCGTTATTAAGATATTAGAAAAATGCATTCGAAAAAGCTTGACATGTAGTGAAACTCAAACCTTTTTTTACTTCAAGTTTCTCGAAACTGGGTTCTGAGCGGAGAAAACTTTGTAATTCTAGGATAGCGAAGTGATGCTACACTGTTCACAATTGTGGGGAAGCAGTTTTACGGGGTGCCCACTACGGCTGGATCGGGCCGATCCCATCCGTAGTGGGCACCCCGTACAATAAGGGGCTTCACTGTCGCGTGCAGGAGAGCCGAGTAATAGGGTATGCCAATTAGCTCGAGCAGGTCGGGTCGTGTCGGGTCGTCGGGTCAGGTCGTTTTCTGGTGGTTTCATTGCACACTACAACCCCGCCGCGATTGTACCCGACGACCTGGAAGTTGGAGTAGAGACACCTTTAACCTCAATCAATGGCTTCCAGGGCTCCTTTCTGCAGTTCCCTGTTGCAGTGCTGGGGGCAGCCTTGAACCCCATAAACATGGGTTACATCGATAACTTTCTATTATCTTCTCTAAGTCAATGAACTCCATTGTTGTCAATTGTTGATGGTATTTCGCACGGAAATGCCAGACCTGGACATCGCAGTGTCAACATGGACACTTGAATCTGCCCTGTTGTGATTGGCTGCAAACCACCCGATCACGCGACTCGCAGGCCTGGAAACAAACGCGTTTGTTTTTGAAGGTCACCGACAGAGTTGATCGGTTTGTGCAACTATGGTCGCTTTGCGCCCTCATTTTGGCTAGTCCCGACTACCAAATCGACCCGATCCGATCCGACCCGACCCGATCCAAGTCGACCCGATCGCGCTAGTGGGCAACCCATGGGAAGAATTTTTTTTATCGAGTATCTCGGTCATCGGTGCTGGGGTATTGTATCCCTTTCAGCTCGTGTTGGCCCTGACAGACATGGTCGGAAACCCATCTCCTAAATTATCTAAATCGTGTGGATTTTGGGGAGGGATTGGGGGTAAAAACGCCTCAACTTTAGTAAAAAAAAAAAAACAAACAAAAACCAACAACGACAAACAAAAAAACCCATTAAAAAACCACCATGTAACAGCGAGTTATTGATTCCCTATAAAGACAGCCGACTTTGGGAGCATGGGGAAATTACGTGACTTCCGTACAGTGAGGGAATCCGACCCCTTTACCTCATTTCCCTCAATTCCCAGCTTGGTCCCATTGCGTGTTATCCAAGCACTTTGCACTCGAAAAGTTCAATACCAGTTGGACCCTTAATTCTCAGCGAAACCCCTAAGATCGTTTAGTCCAAGAACAGGCAACAATATATATATGTGTGTGTGTGTGTGTGTGTGTGTGTGTGTGTGTGTGTGTGTGTGTGTGTGTGTGTGTGTGTGTGTGTGTCTGTAAGTATGCACGCGAGTGTACGTATGTATGTTTTAGCATGTGTGGGTGCAGGGGCAAGTGTGTAGAAGGGTTATAGACAGATAGATAGATAGATAAATAGATAGATAGATAGATAGATAGATAGATAGATAGATAGATAGATAGATAGATAGATAGATAGATAGATAGATAGATAGATAGATAGATAGAGAAAGAGACAGAAAATATTTAATGCAAATAATAATTAATATACACAAAATAGACTGTATAATGGAAGCTGTCCTTCATTGACTGGCAAAGTTTGTAGGCTAGAGTTCACGCAAATGAAGAGTTTATTGATAGAGTAAAATGGTACAATGTGTGTGTCGTTGTCCTGTAAATTGAACCACAAACACACGATTAATAAGAACTACTTAAGCTGTGGCAGTTATAACTACTCGCTAATCATCATTATCGTGAAGAATAAACAGGGTATAGAGTGGCTGTGTTCCGTATTCGTCTACTACTGCTTAGCCTGTCCCTTCTTATGTCTGCGTTTCAGTCTACTTTTTTAGTAGTCTTT